CACCCGTGTCACATCCCTCCACTTTCTCATTTTTTATAAGTATTCTGGGGACTTAGATTTTTTTCGGTGTCTAAAATCCTATTCGTCACATGTTATTCGACACATGGTTAATTTCTTAATTCCAGCCAAATCTCATAATGCCGGCCAAAGTCACGTGGGGGTGAAAAAAATTTCTGGCGATACTGGGGTAGATTATAAATTATAGCCCATTTGGTGCTGTCTTGATAAGACAAATTATAAATTTGGACAATTTTTGGACGGGACGTGGACGGGACATGGACGGGACAATGTCCGGGACATTAAAATTTTGGCGGGACATGTCCCATGTACAACACTGACTACAGTGACACCTCTCTAAGTGCACCCTCCTTGGGACCATAGTAAAAAAATAGTAGAATGTGCACTTAGAGAGGGTGTGCATTTATAGAGAGTAAAATATTAAGAGCTTTTATAAGTTGGGACCAGGCCCACCGTGCACTTAAAGAGAATTTATATAGTATGTGCTAAAGCTGCCGCCCGAAATTAGGGAATTTTACCATTTGCCGAAACCGAAATGGTAAAATTAATTTAGGAAAAATACTTAATTCCGAAATGCTGAAACTATTCCGAAATTCTGATTGGCTGTTATAATATCACGTGACAAAAATTAAAATTTTTACCAAAATTATAACTGTATTCTAATACCATAATTCTGGCTCCGTAGCGATCTTCCTGGCACGTGTAGCTTCGATTTAAGCCTATGTTCGCTTTGTGTAACGTATATACCATATAAGGAAATTATGCGTCTTTATGCACTGATGTTACACAAAGTGAACATAGGCTTAAAACGAAGCTACACGTGTCAGGAAGATCGCTACGGAGCCAGAATTATGGAATTAGAATACAGATAAAATTTTAGCAAATTTATAAAGTCATGTGATTTTATAATAGGCCAATCAGAAGTTTCGGACAATTTCGGGAGTTTCGGAAAGATTTCGGGATTTCGGAAGAATTTCGGGATTTCGGAATTAGTTTCGGAAACAAAATTCTGGCCGAAATTATTTCGGAATTAGGAAATAATTTCGGGCGGCAGCTTTAGTATGTGCACTTATAGAGGGTGCACTTATAGAGGTGTCACTGTATTTGTTTTTTTTTGATTTATTAGTAGAATTAGTTTCTTCATATAATTCATCAATAAATCCAATTAAATATTTATTTGCTTTTTCTAATATCATTTTAAAATTTGTAAAGTTATATATTGGCTTTTGATTTAATTGACGCTAATTTATATAAAAAATATCTGATATTATTTTAATTTTTTTACTTAAACTAACTTTATATCTTATTCTAATTGTTTTAATTCTATTTGATTATAAAATATCATTTCTTAATGAATAAATATAATTTCCTATTTTTAATAATTATATTATTATTATTTTTTTTAAAAAAAACTGGTATATTATATTCTTTTAATATAATATAATCTGAATTACTATTTTTTATTCTATATAAATTATAGATTTTGATATTTTCACCTAATTGTAAAATTGAAATTAATTTTTTTAAAACTTTTTCAAAATTATGTTTTTTAGCTTCTTATTTGTATTTTTGATTGAATTTTATATTTTTTATACTTTAGATAAAAATAGACTTGTAATATTTTTTTTAATCTATAATTTTTATTAATAATGAACTTATTATAATGAAAAATATTCCATATGAAATTATCTTAATATTAGTTTTATTTTGAAATTAATATTTTATTTTTAACTTTATAAACTTTTTCATTACATTTATTAGAATCAAATATACAGGTTTATATATTATCAGTTAACATTTTTTAAATTTAAATTTACATTTAAAAATTAAAATTATAAGATAAATTTAATTTAAACAAAAATTTAATTTTTTAATAAATTTTAGTAATTTGTAACATATATTTTAGTCTTATTTATTGAATTTGTAATTTATTTACTTTTCATAGTATCAATTATTTAATTTTATGGCATTAATTTATTAATTTATTAATTTTTATGGCATTAGTTTATTAATTTTTGTGACATTTACTTAATTTTGTGATACTAATTTATTTGATTTTTATTTATTCAATTTATGAAATTATATACTAAATATCTTACTAGTAAAAAATTTGCATTACTATGGATCAGATCATTACATTATTTTTGCCATATATTATATATAATATAAAGAATATTTGTACAAAATTTCAAGTTTTACAGATGCATATTCATCTTCACAAATCAATTTTTGACTAATAATTGAAAAAAGTAATTGAATTATTATATATGAATATATAATGTAATAATAATATTAAAAGATTTTACTAATAATTATATAATTAAATTTATATAATAATTTAATATTTTAATTTAGATTTCCATTATTTTTTTGCCACATTATTTTAAAAATATTTGTAGTTTTTTAACAAGTTTTTAAAATCTGAAATTAAGTGATTAGTAAATAATCAGCAAGGTAATATAAATATATTTGCTATAAACAGGTCAAAAAGTGAAAAATCAGGCATCAATCAGTTACCAATTGGTTAGCTGATTGGTGACTGATTGGTGACTGATTGATGCCTGATTTTTACTTTTTGACCTGTGATACTGGGATAACCTATCTTAGAAGTATATAAAATTCTAACTAATCTTTTATATTCATCTTTAAAAAATTATTAGTTTTGACTTAATATACTTGGATTTTCATTAAATATAGTAAAATATTAGATGGCCTTTCAAAATGTATTTGTATTAAAGAATAGATAGATACATTATACACATTGCTTAAATTATTTTGGGCTGCCATAATTATAAGTAAAATCCCAAATTCAATTATAACATCCCAAATTATTTTGCACTTTATATAGTAAATTACATATAAACTAAATGAATTACAGCATTCCAAATTATAATTATAGCATTCCAAATAATTTGGATAGCATGTATAGGATACATTAAAACTTGAACTAAAATTATGCAATATATTGGCTCTAGCAAAGAAATAATTGAATAATATTAACACTAATAATTTGGTTATATAGGATTTTACAGTATGTAGTAAATAATTAGTTTTTATTTATTTTATTAATTCTTTAACTTATAGATTGATAATTAACTAATTAGATGAATAAATGTTCAGAATATTCAATTTGAATTTATGTTCTTATCATCATTGGTAAATTAATACAGAATCCTAAAGATTATTAAAAAAACTCAGATCTGAATTTATATAAACTTTATGATTAATTTCATGTAAATTTTAGCTTCAAATTTTGCTATTTCTGAATCCAGTGATTGGAATTTAATAATATTTGGTTTGTTAAATTCATCTTAACAAGATGAATATTTTAATATATAATTCATCTTTTTTAGGTATTATAACTGCTAGATACTAAGCATAACTTAATTAAAATAAAAGTCATAGGTAATGTAGAAATTAGAAAATTAAAGTAATAAATTTAGAAGGCACTAGAAATATAGATAGTAATACAAATCATTTCTGTCATATAAGTATAAACTAGACATATAATGTCATTTATTACATTATAGTTCAAATTCTATAATTTTTATATTTTTATTTAATAGAAGATCTATATTTATTATTAAATAAATATTATAGTTTAATTTGAAGTTGTATTTTTGTTAATTATGTGTTTTTTATTAATTTCATTTGATTTATTATATTACTAATTTTTATTTTGTGAAGGATGATCTGATGTGGCAGAAATCATGACACTTCAGTGTGATATTGACTGAATCATCATACAAAATTTGAGTTGTTTTAGTAATCTTCAGGATACATCTTATATTAGCATAAGACATCAATTTTGTTGGTTAGTTGAAATATATATAATATAAAAATTGCTTATTATATAATATTAGGATATCTGAAAAAATCAAATTCTATTAAAATAATATTAGACAATCTCAATAATAAGAAGGTAAGATTGTTGTACTGTAAAATTAGAAGAGAAATATTTGTTTTATTTTCTTTTTCACCAATTATAGCAATATCACAAAAAAAAAGTGAAGTGAAAAATAAATTTTTTTTATAATATATTGATTTTCCTATACATATTTGTATTTTTATTATTTAATTTGTAATTTTTATATATAATATATATACTGTTAAATGTTAATTAACTACTAAGTTAAAATTAATATAATTTTATTTCTACATTATATAATTATTTCTTAAAATTTCTAAAGCTAATTTGTTTCTATTATAATTAATATAGAAATAAATTATCATATTTTACTTTGTAAAGAAAGCATTTTCAAAATTTTTTTTCAAAACAATATAGGTCAAAAAGTGAAAAATCAGACATCAATTAGTCACCAATTGGCATTTTTGTTAAAAACCATCACCAATCAGGCAGTTTGCTAACTTTTAACCCAGTAATCAGAAAAGAATAAAATATAACTTATTGGAATCAGCTTAATAAGACATAGTAAAATTGCATTTTCAGAATTAATACTTGATGAGAAATTAAATAAAATATAAAAATAAAAATATATCATTTATATTTTATTTAATTTTTTATTAACTATTAATCCTAGAAATGCAATTTTACTATCATAAATTTGTCTTGTTGAGACGATTCCAATGAGTTATATTTCATTCTTTTCTGATTACTGGATCAAAGGTTAGCAAACTGCCTGATTGGTAACCAATTGGTGACTAATTGATACCTGATTTTTCACTTTTTGACCTGTGCAAATCAAAGTAATATATTTTACAAGCAATACAAATATATTTCTTAGCAAAAATTATTAATAGTGATTTATAATAAAAATATATGCCAGAACTTTTAAGCAAAAATCATGCTGAAAGCAATGCAAACTATACAAATATTTTTATTGCTAAAGCTAATTTATTAATAAACTGTAATACACTAAAATAAACTATTTAGTTGCATCAGTAAAAACTGTAGTACAGGATTAATATTATAATATTATACATGAATATATAAAATAAATAGTAGTAATAAAAAGTTTCAAGAGTTTTAGAAGTTCAATAAATATTTGGTAAGAACTAAGAAGTATTTATTTGTTTCCTTTTTATTAATGTAATAATAACTAATATATTGATTTACTTAGAAAAATATTACAATGTTCTCATTTAGAAAGGATGTTGTTTTTAAGACTCGCCTCAGATCATTTGTTGTTTTAACCTGAAATTGGTAATAACATCAGGTTTTGGACGAATTATAAAAAGCTAGTTATCCTCAACTTACATTCGAAAATCGCATCATAGAATCTGCAAAATTATGATTAACCTCTGGAAATTTTTTGACTGCACGCTTGATTTCATTCCATTCTTCGGTTGTAAATAACGACTTTGCTTCCCGATCGTCAAGATCAATAACTCATGAATGTAAAAGTGATTCAACTTGCAGTCGTTCACAATATTCGAAAAGAATTTTGTGGGATTCCCGAAAATCTTCAAGCTGTGATGATATCAACAATGGTGAAGGATTCTGACTTTCGATATCGCTTGTATTATGAAGGGAAGTGAGTTGTAAGCCTAAGAAAAAAATCAAATCAATAGAATTAGTCTTTTTTGATTGCTATGAATAGTGAGAATATTGTGACATCTGAACAACTTGTTTCAATATGAACCGTACCTTGTCTTTCTCGCCATCCGCTCCGTTGGAACCCCGTTCATTGCTTGGTTTCCGCCGTTTCTTGGATGAGTTGTCCGTTTTTTGCAAAAACAGACTGGACGATTTTTTTTCGGAGGAACTTTTAAAGAAATTATCTATCTCATCACTTTCATCATGATCATACTAAAACATTAAAATGCAAAAATTAGTTCTTTTGGTAGATCACTTTACATTTCTATCATAAGAGCATACATACATCCAGTGACTTCGGATTCTCATCAGAATTATTATTTTGGTAACTGAACAACTCTTTTTTTTCATGAATGGTTTGATTCAACGCGTACATAGAATAATCCAACTATATAAAGTAATAAAGTTAATTCTTTATGATGGTATAAGCTAAAAAGATGATAGTTCAATAACCTTGGTAGGTTCCATTTTGGTTGTTATCCAAAATTTCTCTACTGGCTTGGATGATTTCTCGTCCCCAAATAAAAATAATATTAGTAAATACTGTAAAATTAAATAAATTACTAATGTTACTCAAAGACAGTAAATTAGACGCCATGAAATGGCCGGAGCCTAACTACCATTGAGGCGGACCCCCAGGTAGCAACATGGAGCAATATATACACAGATATATATTTGGAGGGAGGCGGACCCCACTATCACAAGCAAAGCGGACTAAGCCTGCTTACTCCAAATTCTAATTTAGACTATGTGTTTGGCACATTTCTCTTGTTATTAAACTTACTTCAAAACTAATGAGACCCTCCTTAGCTTTAACGTGATTTGAATCATATAAAAAATAATTCTTTCGAGTGCTGTTCTGCATTAAAATGTTCAGTAGCTTTATCTGTGAAGTTATTGGCGTATTTTCTAAACTTTAAAAACGAAATAAGCGACCAATCCGTATATTCTTTGAAATAAGCTAATATCTGTGGCTTGCGGAAGACATTTTTTTATTCTTTTATATATCAAGTTAAGAAACTAAATATTTTCAACTACCAACTTAAATGTACTGTATTATATGTAGAAAGAATATTTTTCATAAAAATTTTCAATAGACGCGTTTTTTGTACGAAAAAAAAACAATCATCGGGTGACGATCACGTGGCGGACAGAGAAATTCAAACTACCCCAACGGCACCCAGAAAATTCTTCGAACTCGGCCGGCGTTATGCACTGACACGTGATCAAAGAATTTAGGATGTGATGAATAAAACGTGACAAATAGAATTTCAAAAATCTGTACATAAACAGATTAACTCAGATGGGGTGTGACGATGTGATAAATAAAACAGATCCCGGGATTGAAGAATTTTTCTGGATGCTGTTGGATTATATGAGAAATTTATATGATAAATTTTTTTTTAATAATGGCAGACATTTTTTAAACATTTCAATACAGGTACTTTATAGTATAATTGGCATAATTGGCGTAATTTAAGTACTTGGAGTGAATAAAACTTGCTTTTATCAAGAATTTGGAACTATATGAATATTAATTTTCATGATACAAGAGTAAATATTTATGGAACTATTATTATTTTTTGCAATAAAATTTACTGTGCGCATATATATTATTTATTTTACAAAATAATTTCTGTATATTAGTTTAGAATTACGCTATACATAATGGCTTTTATCATATAAGTAGAATTGTTCAGAAGGTATAAGATATTTAAATGCTAGTTTTTATTAAATTAATTGAACTTTATTTTGGATAAAATTAGTTTAATTTTTTTGTATCTATTTATAAAATTTTAATAAATAATATAACTACAGTGACATCTTTCTAAGTGCACCCTACTTGGGACCATAGTAAAAAAATAGTAGAATGTGCACTTAGAGAAGGTGTGCATTTATAGAGAGTAAAATATTAAGAGCTCTTATAAGTTAGGACCAGGCCTACCGTGCACTTAAAGAGAATTTATATAGTGCGTGCATTTATAGAGGGTGCACTTATAGAGGTGTCACTGTATAAAGTACTTTATTGATTTAAAATGGTAAAATTAAAAATGTTAAAATTTTTAAGTCTTTGATATTTAAAATTAAAATATTGTAAAATTAGGAAGCTTACACATATTATGTAATTATTAAAGGAAGGGAAATAACTAAAATTTTATGTTACACTTAATAAAATTATATGATTTATAAATATTATAATTTGATTGGTTATTAAATCTGACAGGAGAGGAAGAGGAGTAAGTTTATATTAAACTGAATATTACGTGATATGTGTAACTCATCTTATTTTTATTATTTTTTTGTGTATGTGAAACAAAATTTTTTATAATTTTATGGCTAATAAAAATTAATTGTACCATACTTTAAGCCAATTATATCCTAACTTTTAGAATCATATTTTGTATACATATTCTTATTATTTTTCTACTTTAATAAAACTGCAAATGTGCTGTGATTAAAAAAAAAAAATTATTATATATTGTAAATTATAGTATTCTAAATATAATACAAATTTTGATTGTATTATCACATTTATAATTTAAAATTTTATTATAATAATATATATTTCAAAAGCTTGTATTTGAATAAAATTCAATTTTTTAAATAGTAAAATTGATGCTTTTTCATGTAAAAAAAGAAGGAATACTATATGTAAAAAGTACTATAATTTATAATATATAGTATATAAAATTACAATAATATTTTATTAGTTAAAATAGAACTTTACCTAATGTTACCAGTGGAAATTTCACTTTCATATAAAATTTTACTTTGGAATTTTCTCAATTTCTATTATTAATTAAAATAATAATAATAATAATAATAATAATATAATATAAAATTTCCTTTTATAATAGGATTTTTAAAGAGTTTTATATGTATACCTTACCTTAGGCACTCCTTAGGCTATAAAAAAAAATAAAATGCAAAACTTTAAAATTAAGTATTATATGAGAATTCCAAATATCTTTCATATGGGTTAATCTGATTCACTAACCAAATATTACATGAAAATAAGTGTGACAATATCAAACCAATCAAATTTAGTGTAACAAGCGAAAAAAATCAAAAAAATATTTTGAACGCTTTTTTATGTAATAAAACCATTATAAAATACTGTCAAAAATAAAGAATAACCCTTAAAAATAAGCTGTTTATTATATAAATATATATAATATATAACAATTACAATAATTATTAAATAATAATGCCTAAAAAATAAAAATAAATCTATTAATATATTTAAAAAAAGTTTTATAGTGTTGTTTAAAATGCCTTAATAAACGTAATAATGTGCAAATAATGTTATAAAAATAGAGCACATTATACTAATTTTAACATGTCACATATTTACAACATCCAATAGGAAAATGATTTTCCGTCGATTTCCCACCATATTGTTTTTTTTAGAAAACTTATCTAAGTTTATTTTATTTGCAGATCATCACAAATTTCATATATATTCCTCAATTATATCACCTGATCATTAATTAATGAAATGAGTCAGATTGGCCCATATGTTATTTATACAAATAAAAATTACTTCATATTGTATCTCAGTAAATATTAAAGTTAAAAAATAAAATTATTACTTAGATATAAATTTTATTGAATTTGAATTATTAATTAGCTAAAAAACAGGGGAGTATAGTTTAAATTCTTCTCCTAAAATAAGCAATTTTTTGAAAATTATATATTTTTATATAATCAATAATTATTCATAAATATTTAAGATTTTATTATATGTGATTATAATATACAGTCAAATCTTTATATAATGATATGTCGGAACATATATAAAATTTTTAGAAAATATCACTATATCAAAGTTATACTGATATTTATATTCTCACATATAGTGGGAAAAATAAAATTTTATCAGTATATCAAGTTTTTAATAGTATATTGGTATTCAGTATATCAAATATTGAAAAATTTTAAAAAAAACTAAAAAAATAAAATCTAAAAATTTTAAAAATATTAAACATTAAATATTATATAATGTAAAATGCCATTCATTAAAAAATTTTATTTATTTAAATAATTTCAATTGGTTTATATCTTTATTAAACCAAATATTACAAAATAATTTTAAGTAAAATTCAAAAATTTTGTAATATTATTATTTATTATATTTAGATTAAACTTATTTACTAATCAGTTGATAAAATCAGTATGATTATGTAATTTTAATTATATAAATTGAAATTGAAAGAAGAATTAATATCTGGAATTATGCTGTAATTTAATTATTCATAATGTTATTTATTTAAATAATTATATATTTAATAATACCAGTATGATGATGTATATAAATTGAAAAAATAAATTGATGACTGGGAATTATGCTGTAATTTCAAAAAAACACTGTTAAAAACCTAGACAAATCATTTACCTTTTACTATATTTATACTTTTTTTAGATAGCTAATTTTTTAATTTTTTTTCTTCATTTTTTCATTTTATTTTCTAAAAAAAGGTTTGAAGTAATCAAATTAATTATATGAAGTTTAAAATATTTAAGTATTTAATACAGATTTGTATAACGAAATCCCTGCAGATCACAACAGAGAAGTGCGACGCGGGAGACAATTTGTCAAATTTGTCATTATCCTGAGTTTATTTGCAAAGAATAAAAAAGGTTAATTCGTGATTCATGCAGAAAAAGGGTGACAAATAAAAGTGAAAAAACTATTTTAAAAGATAAAATATTTGAAACTTTAGGATAAATATTTATATATTAAAATATGTTGGGTTCATACTTTAAGGAATGTTACTAATGATCGACATAAATTTGCACCGTGCAATTGACACACGAATCACGAATTAATTATTTTTTTACAAAAAAAACATTCTTATTTATTAAAAACAAACAAGAACCACATAAACTTTATACTTCATTTGTAATTCTTATGATCATTTAAATTCATGTAATACTATGGTTAATATTGCCAACACCGCCGAAACCTTCAATTTCATTACTATCTGAGCAAGTAGTAACAAAACTTAAAATTTCCGTATTACCCATATATTTTGGACATAATTCGCTATAAAAATCGAAAAACGAATTGATTAATATCACAATATTTTTTTTTTAAAAAAAATGTATAAATTTACTTACCCATGAATAATAGCCAGAATAGAGGCCATCATCGTAATAGAATAACCAATATGTGTCGTAAAACTTAGTATCATGGTAAATAAAGATGCCGGCGAAGACTTCAACGCATAAGATGATTTTGAGTAGGCTAATATTACAACAGCCCATGTAATACAAATGATAGAAGACCAAGTCACAATCGCCGTTAAAGCAAAATTAATAATCTTTAACTGTAAATGTACAAAAAAATTTAATCTTAAATAAAAAAAAGAATTATTTTGGGGAGGAATTTTATGTGATTGAAATACCTTTTTTAAATGGGTTTTATGAGTTTGTTGTTTTTCTTCTCCACTACTCACCAATCTAACACTTTCGGTTGTCAAAACAACCAAGAATCTTCCATATTTAACTAAACCCAATATACAAATAATATTGGCAATGCTTAAACTAATAAGTAGGATTCCTTGTGTTAATTTATATAGTATTAAATTTTCCTTTTGTACGGCATATCCCTTAAGACATGAAAAAACCGTAACAATCACTCCAATATATATAATATATCCCCAATATACTATCAGGACTGTTCTATGACCTGGAATTAATGGTTCCCTACCATGTCGAATGTCCGTTGGACGATGGAAGGCTAGTTTTGGTATCGCTTTAAAACTAAATAAGAGGAAAGGGAAGAAATATTTAACGTGGCGTAATAAAGAAATTGACTAATATATATATACTTATATACTTACGTTCCCGCGATATAAGTCACGATAGCAAATTGACCACAAGTCCAACCGGCATAATTTATAAAACTTTCAAATATGATGCTATAAGGGAACAGGTCAATGGCCACAATAGTCAAGTCCAGAGCCCTGACTAAAAAGAATTAGTTAATTTCAACAAAATTAAAGAGATACCATTTATTGCGCCTAAGATACTTACATAACGAATGTATGGTAACCCAAAAAAGGAATCCAGTTATGGGTTCGAAAAGATGATCGCCCCATAAAGGAGATTTGTCGTGAAAATATTTATATAATAAAACGGAGAGGGCAAATAAACTTACAACAATACAAATTATTATTGCTGTATAATAAACCCATAATTGAGAACCACTTACACGACATAATAGTTTCGTGAATGATAAACTCCCACTACAATCGGATAAAGTAGAAGGAGGCATTTTTTTACATTATTTATTAAAGAGGGTATAATTAGGAACGATACTTTTAATCTTTTTTATCGTACAAAAAATATAGAGAAATAGAGAAATAAGGAAAATAAGGAGGGATATAAAGAAATATGGAGTAAGTCACAAAAAAATCAATAATTCGTTTTATAAAGGGAGGAGGATATCGACTTATCGTTAATTAATTAATTAATTAATTTTTTTTTTTTTTTCTTAATAAAATCTATAATTGATTAAAATATATATAATTAAAGACGAATCTTTTTCGTTTCGTTTGTTCGTTTATAAAATATTTTCGTTTTTATTTTTTAATTATTTTAATTATTCTTTTTCTTTTTTAGAGAAAAAAAAAAGGGAAAGAATAAAAAATAAAAAAAAAACTTACCACTTGTTATTAAAATAATTCAGATTGTATAAATAATAAATAAACTTGTAATACGTTTAACAATTTTGATCTTTAAATGCATGATTCTATTACCTGTAAAACATTGCAATTTTATCCATTTTTCCATTTTATGAAAATCCTAAATTTAGTTTCCTATTTTCATAACTTTCGGTAAATCCGTTCAAATTAAAAAGAATTTTGAAAGATAAATAAAAGATAAAATAACTGTCAACTTACGGAATTGGATTATTGTTTAGTTACACTTTAAAAACGCCAAAATTATAGATTCAATTGTGATAATATTTTTTGATGACCGGGGAAGTTCTCCTTTATGTTTTTTTAATCGTAAATACGTAAACAATGTTATTAATCGTTATACCAGCACCAATTACCAAACTTTAGATTAGTAAATAAAATTTTACTGGAAAGTTCCTTATTTTTTTAAATTTACCTGCAAAAAATGTATTGTTACGCGATTTAATTATCTTGGATTACTTTTATAGACTTGTGCGAAATAAAATATTTATTAAATCTTTTAAATTTTTAATTTTTTTTTTTATGTAATAAATGTAAATTTTTCCGCATTGCATAATAAAAAGTATCTGTATGATATGTCATTGGGCAAAAAAAAAACTTTATTATTTTTGGTAATATAATAAAGAGTTTCAGAAACACATTGTGGCACGTATTTGGAGACGAGCGCCATAACTTTGTAATCGGTAATAAGGCACACTTATTTTATTATAGAATTTGAAAAAAAGGAAATATATATTTATATAATTTGTAATAAAATGAATCGAGATAACAAAGATAAATAAATAAGTAAAAAAAAAGTTTATATAATAAAGTTAAATAAGTATAATAAAGTTAAAAATAAGTATAATAAAGTTAAATAAAATAAAGTTAAAAATAAGTGTAATAAAGTTAAATGACGTTAAATGATATAAAATAACATTAAATAACGTTATAACGCTAATCTCTCCCTCATAAAACTAAATAAAAAAAAAAGAAATATTTAATAAAAAATCAAAATTTAACCAAAATAATATTAAAAATATAAAATTCTTACCTTATTTTCTTTGGTGCACACTCGTATAATGTTCTTCTAACGATTTTTGTAACCAAAATTTCTTACCACATTCTCTACAAAAAATAGTTTTATCATGTTTAATCATAATATGAAAATCTAAAGTAGATTTCTCAAAGAAAACTTGTGAACAAAAACGACATAAAACTCTATAACCATGTGTCTTTGCATGTTTATTAAATGATTTATTATCTTCGTATTCACTTTCACATAATTTACATTTCAATTTAGTTATTATAGAAGGATCAATTTTTGTTGCAGAAACTTCGATCATATGCGTAGGATTTTCGGTTTTAGGAACTTGGGTTGTAGGAACTTCGGTTTTAGGAACTTCAGTCGTAGGAACTTCAGTCGTAGGAACTTCGGTCGTAGGAACTTCGGTTGTAGGAACTTCCGTTTTGATTGTATCGGTAATTTCCTCCACTTTTTCATCTTTTTCTTTCGTCTTCTCTTTTTCTTCTTTTTCTTCTTCTTCACTTTTCTCTTCCTTTTCCTCTTTTTCTTCAATTATTTCCTCAGTTTTTTCCTTTTCTTCTTCTTCTTTTTCTTTAGATTTTCCTTCCTTCTTAATAAAAAATTTGATTTCTTCCTTTACAATATCATGAATAAAAAATTCTTCTTTTAATTTTAATGATGAATGATTAATTTTTTTTATTATTTCAAAACTATTATCAACTCTAAGTGTATCAGTTTTAATATCATAATGAACATTTCTAATATGTAAATTTAAATCTTTTTGTTGCCAAAATTTTTTTTGACAAAATGGACATCCATATTCTTTTTCATGTTTTTGTTCTATATGATCCATTTTTGATTTTTTATCTTTTAATACTATAGAACAAATTTTACATAAATTTACTAAATTATGTTTACTTTTAGCATGTTTATTAAATTCTGATATATCCGAACTTATGGTATTACATATTGTACATTTTAAATTTGTAGGTTTTTCTTCTTCTTTTAATTTAAAATTTGTTGTTATATTATATGATTCTGGAATTTCTATTTCATGAATAAAATATGGTTTAAATTCTTCTTCTTCATTTTCTTCTTTTTTTGATAAACTTAATAAACTTGTTGAACGAACTTTTTCTTGAGGAAAGATTTTTTTACTCATTTTTTATTTTTTTATTTTTTTTTATTTTTTAAATAAGAAAAAAAAAATTAAGTAAATAATTAAAAATTCAAAATAATGATTACTATATTATCATGATAATNAAAAAAAAAAAAAGAAAAAAGAATAAGAAAGAAAGAAAAAGAAAGAAAGAACTTTTTTTAATGTACAATATATACTCTGTAAAGAAAATTTCAGTAGTGTATCGTTTTACAACATTCATTTTTCTACAAATCGTAAACAAAAGCATTAACACTTATGGAATAATCCGTTAATGATAATAAATGATGCGAAGACAAAAGCAATTAACACTTTTAAGTTTCCCCCCAGTATTACAATGCTATTACCAAATCAGTAGGGACTAGGGACCCTGACTAGAAACCCAAACAAATAATGCGTTATGAAATATTATGTATTATGTATTGTTTCACAAATGTTACGGATCAGCAAAAAGAATTTATTAATATATATAATATTTAGCAGTTAGTAAAAAAAAAAATGTCCGAAAAAAGTAATAATTTCTTTTGCTATTATTAACTATAAACAAACTACTTGCTGAAATAAAAAAATTTAACACGTTATCACTTATCAGCAAATGAATACGCCTTAATGGCGATCAATTACATGGATAATATTAGTATTATATCTACGAAATTGACATTCTATCAACCTCCTTTTTCAATAAAAAAATTGATTCATTATCATCTATCATTTTAAATTTTTTAAACGAAACTTCAGGTTCGTCTTCTTTAATGCTATCATACTTTCTAGATTTTACTTTTTCATAACATAAAACACTACCCATATCCAAGTCTTTCGATCTCAAACGTGCGGCAATAGGTTCATACGAAGTCTCTTCTTGACGTGAATTAATTTTATTATCATTTTGATGATGTTTTTTATCTCTACAATGATTCATTAAACTTGCTTCACAAACAAACCGTTTCCCACAATCTTGACATTCAGAAACATGATCTCGTTTCTCATGTGCCTTTCCAAGTTCTTTATTAATAAATATTTTAGAACAATAAGAACATAAAAATTTACAATTATGTTTCTTTTTAGCATGTGTATTAAAATTCGAATGATTTTTATACGTCAATTTGCAAATTCGGCATTTCAATTTGTAGGGAGGTGTTTTGTTTGTTGGAATATTGTAAGGTATAATATCATGAATGAGGGACTCTTCTTGTACAGTAACAGTTTGTGATGTTGATGATGTTTGTGATGGAATAGGTATTTGTGGGAAAATTGTAAAATCTATTACACCATAATCGTCAAAAAATGAATCTCTATCCTCATCCATTTCATTTTCAAGTGTCATATCCATTTCTTCATTATCATTAGGTGTCATCCTCAAACGCGCAGAAATTGGTTCATCAAAAGTAGAGGTCCCAGGAAGCTGTGGAAGTGATGTGTAGACAGTTTCTGTTTGACCTGAATTAATATTCATCTGATCATGCTTGGCCTTAAAATGACTCATTAAACCATTTTCACTACGTAATTTTTTTCCACAAACTTGACAAGTAACACCATGTTCCCGTCTTTCATGTACCCATTTAAAACCTTTTTTAGAAAATATTTGAGAACAAAAAGAACATAAAAACTCAAATTTGTGTGCCGTCTTAGCATGTTTATTAAATTGTAAATGAGTATTAAATATCTTCTCACAAATTTTGCATTTCAATTTATAAGAAGGTTTTTGGTTTGGAATTTCACAAGGTATAGTTTCATGAATGAAGGCAGCGACAGCTTGCGATGTCGATGAAGTTTGTGATGGAATAGATGTTTGTGGTAAAGTTTCACGATAATGTTCTCTTGGTGATCCCTCTTTGATATCATAATTGTTAAAAAATGAATCTCTATCCTCGTCTGTTTTATCCATTTCATTATTTTCATCCATTTCATTATTTTCATCCATTTCATTATTTTCATCTATTTCATTATTTTCATCTTTAGGTGAGATATTATTCCTTTTGCTCGATCTCAAACGCGCGGCAATTGGTTCATGTTGGGTTTCAAGATGTTTCCTTAAACCATTTTCACTACGTAAATTCTTTTCACAAATTTGACAAGTATAAACATGTACCAGTCTCATATGTTCCCTCTTAGACCTTTTTTGAGAAAATGATTGAGAACAAAAAGTACACAAAAACTTACAATTATGAATTGCTTTAGCATGTCGATTAAATAATGAATGATTTTTAAATATTTCTTCACAAATTTTGCATTTCAGTTGATAAGGAAGTTTTTTGTTTGATGGTGATTCATAAGGTATAATTTCATGAATAAAGGTTTCTTCTTGTAATTCTGGTGATGGTGGTGATGGTAGTGATGGAGGTGATGGTAGTGATGGAGGTGATGGTAGTGATGGAGGTGATGGAGGTGATGGAGGTGATGGAACAGATGCAGTTGTTGGTATAGGTGTAGGTATTTCACTACGATGCTTGGAATGAAGATGTTCTATTAATCCAGCTTTATCATAAAATTTCCTTATACATAAAGTACAAGAAAAATTCTTTTTATGATATTTTCTCATATGTTTTCCACGATTACTTCCAGATGAAAATACTAGACAACAAACCAAACATAACCATTCATAGTTATGTTCTGATCTAGCATGATATCTAAACATTGTAAGACATTCGAATGTTTCCTTACATTCTTTACATTTTATGATTGTACCAGAATTATCTTGAAGTGTTTCATGCAAGAAAAATTCATCATCCGCGTTTGTAATAGTTGTATTGATATTTTCTTCATGATTAACCTCCCGTGGATCATCATCTAAATTTAATTTCTGAAATCCATAGATAACTTCCGAGTCTTCTTGAGGATTTGAATGAAATTCTTGAATATGTTTTTCTAAACTTTCATCCACATTAAACCTTTTTACACAGTAAGTACAATACGTCGAATGATATTTATTAATATGTCTTCCCCATAATTTTTTATCATGAAATACTTCAGAACAACCAAAGCATAGATACCTTATTTTATGTTCTGTTTTTGCATGCCTATTAAATTCGTTATTTGATATAAAGATATCTTCACATAATTTACATTTCAACATTACGTCATCATCGTATACGTACTCATGGATAAGTACTGCGTTGTCATCATGTTTTTTCTTAATAATCCTTTTATGATCAAATTTTTCATTATTATCGAAAATGATTGATGGTTGATTTTTAAATAATCCAGAATGAAAAGAAGCTGATCCCGGAATAGTTGTTATGGTATTAGCAGATGTCATATCATCAATCGTATAAGGAGCAGTCGTCAAATCTACAACGGTAGCAGCAGCCATAGTATTGGTTAGATCAGTAATGGTCATGTCAGTATAGGTCATATCAGTAATGATCGTATCTGTAACGTTCATATCAGTGATGGTCGTGTCAGTAATGATCGTATCAGTAACGTCCATATCAGTGATGGTCGTGTCAGTTACGTTCATATTAGTGATGGTCGTGTCAGTAACGTTCATATCAGTGATGGTCGTATAAGTAACGTCCATGTCGTCCGTCGTATAAATAGCATCCATATCAGAATCAACAAGTGTACCGTATAGATTTAAATCAGATCTAATTGAAGCGGAAGGAAGTTCCATTCCGGGATGGTTACCTTTAATATGATCTTTTAATCCACTATAGTCCCAAAATTTTTTTGTACAATATTCACAAGTAAATAATTTACCGTGAATATCTCTCATATGAACTTTTTGTTGTTTTTTATTATAATAAACTTTATAACAAACTCTACATAAATGATGAAATTTATGTATCTTTTTAACATGAATATTAAATAAAGGTAAATTGTCAAAGAAACTTTCACACAGTTTACATTTAATAACTACTTTTCCTATTGACGTTAAGAATAATAAGTGTAAATAGTCCGGATCGTCTTCAGTAAATGAAGATAAGTGAGAACGTGTAGGAGACGAAGGTATAGCGGGTAAAGATATAGGGGAAAATGGACGTGAATTTGTATTTTTAAGCATTTTTAATTATTGAATATTTCTTTTTCTAGAAAGGATATATTTTGAGGAATGTTTTTAATTAGAAAAATGGAATGAGATCCATAATAAATTACGTATAATTCCACATGACTACTTACTGATAATGATAATCAAAACACATCATCTGATAAAGTTAACAATAACTTTTGTTTGCGCGTAGTGGATTGGATTATTTTTAATTTTATCGGTGGATGATTTCTAAGGCGACCTTTATAACATTTTTAATATTCTACTTTAAAATTTACATGAATACGAGTTCCATTTAGCTATAAAAATAGGTTATATACATTGGATAATGATTCAGCATTTCTCACGCGATAAGACACATTTCATTTAATATGACAAATTCCTTAACTCTAATGAGTCTAATCTTAACTAACTCTAATCTTAACCGACTACAGAGTATCAAAAAAGTCATGTGCAAATTGCAGAATGATTATATACTTATATCTGAGACCCACCAAACTTTTCTCATATGCGTTAGTGTTATTTATTTGCTGGATGAGATGAATCTCACCAGTAGGTCTGCGATAAATTAATAAACCTTTCGGTAATCGTTATAAGATGATGATATACAGTACTTTTATATATTCTGATACGGAAATAATCCTTCTTTAGTTTTTTTTCAAAGACAATCAGTGGAGTGGGAAAAAAGCTATTACGGAAATTGAGTTATTAAATTTTACTCCAAACAAGATATTACAATTCGATGATGTATATATGTCTACGCACTATGATGATCTATGGAAATAACGTGTAAATTTTCAATCACGTGAGTTTCTCTGTCCAGGAATTCCAAGGCGTTATGCTGCTAATCAGCAGAAAATTACCAGAATTCCAAGGCGTTATGCTGCTAATTAGTAGAATATCGCTACATCTTTATTTATTATACCTCGCTCCGGACTTACAACGGTTCCCGTTTCCTAGTTATAAAAGAGGATCGATTTGGTTATTAATATAAAACGATCAATTATCTTTTTCCAAGTTTATTTAATTTTCTCAATTCTCGGAATTTCTGGATTTCTGAATTATTTTGTAAGTGGTATTTTTAATTTTTTTTTTAGTATTAAAAATTCATGAATCTAAAGAGGTTCTTTGATATTTATTATATTTGAATAGATGAATCGAATAATCTTTTTAAGTGAAGAGTTTACCATATTTTTTTTTTTTTTGATTGAGAAATCCCTCTTATTAAAAGAAACATGTTCGGAATCGTGAATTTCATCATGTCTTTTTTTTTTTCCAAAAAGTAATTCTCCTACACGAAATGTTGATCCTCCTTCAAACGATCAATTTCATGAAGAAAGTCAAGAAAATCAAAATGTGAACCAAAGACAGAAACGATACTTGGAATTTCGATATATTGACCTTAATAATAATAATGCAGTGTATTCAAGCACCCCCGCAATTTTAAGTAAATAACATCAGTATTTCAGAAATATATTTATTGTATCGTCATGGGTGTATATCTGATATCGTGACATAATACTGTTTAAGAGGTCTAAATTTATTGTTTAAATTGCCTAAATAAAAGTGTGTGGTCAGTAATCCCACTGATCCCTGCATCAAATGTCGCTGGTTATTACTAGTATATGTCAAATGTCAATCTGCCTCATAAAATCATATGTAAATTAAATAATTGGTTAGTTTATTAGCTTAAATGGATATAACCAATAATGACATATACAAAAAATATCAAATTTTGCTAACTTGTAGCATGGTAGAATGATGCAATTTTTACAGTGTATAAAGATAATAAGTATGCAATACTTCTCAGCCTGGCTTAACAACTATATTGTGAGGAACGTCAAAATGTTTAATTATAGCCGTTCTTCAATTTGTAAAGGAGAGATACCCTATACGTCAAAGCTTCTTCCCAATAAGAGATTATCTGTAACATCTCCACATTTTCTCACGGAATATATGTTCACAATTATTTTTTGTTTTATACTTTATTAGGGAGTACGAAATTATAACCTGAAATTTTTTCCAAAGATCTATCAACATTTGATCTTTTACCGAATTTGAAACTAGGTTCTTGGAAATTACATAGACAAATGCAAATATACAATAGGATTTGCTGGGAAAAGATTAAAATTTTACGCCAAATAAATATTTTAATGAATTATCAGCTGATTACAAATGAGCCGATCAAATAATCATTCCTTCATTTCTTCATCATATCTAAATGTGAAGTACTTGAATACTGCTGCGATAAAGTTTAATCTCTCAAAATTCTATAATTTCCCCACCCACGAAATGAATAATGAGACATATGTCAGACAAAGATTTTAAGCAAGGTCAAACAACGCATTTTAAGTAAATTTTGTTATGGGATAAGAATGAATTTTTATGAGAGTATATTAAAGTTTATCATCGTTCATTTTATTAGATCAATTTGATTTTAAAGTTTCATCAGGGGAGTTGTACCCGTTGTGTCACTTGATCTTTTATGTAATTGTTATTTATTCTGGGAAATATTTCGGGTCAAGAACAATGTTTTACACCATATATAATAATTTCCTATATGAGATAAACTTGGTCTCCATATAAGAAATCCAATCAATTTCTCTTAATCATTTATTCATTTTCTAAATTCGTTATTCTAAACTTTTAAATACTTTATTACTTGGTTATTCTAACTATTCTATAAATATTATAATAATAAATTTCACAAAGAACTTGAAGTTTTTTTTTGCTATTTTAAAGGTGGGATTCACTTGGAAGAAAAGATATATATCAGATTTGTCTCATCATAATGGTTTAGAATGTTATTTGGATTGTAATTAAAATTTTTAAAATCAAACTTTAAATCACAGAATAATTACATAGAATTAATATGTAATTATTTTTGTTATAACAATTTTATAAATTTTATTAAAAAATTTTATAATACAAATCTTTGTATATAGAAGGACGATTAGGAATGTGGAATTTCACATTTGACCTCGTATAGGTAATTAATATACGGTTATTATAGAGAGAAAAACTAGTACTTAAACGTTCGATTTTCAGCGGGTAACGACGGGTGGTTCTTTACTAGTAGTTTTATCCGTGATTATCATTCTGCTCAGTGATAGAAATATTCGATCTTAATTTTTCATATATCTCCAAGTTCATTAAAATTTCTCTTTTTGAGAATTAATTCAAGAATGTTCAAGCTGAAAACCATCGGAATAATATTTATTCTGATAAACATTAACTTCTACAAATAAATAAATATTTTAAACGTAATCGAACAAATTAGACAAAGTAGCAACCAAAAGCAAATACTTTTTTGAGTTCATTGTTCATATTTATTTATTTTTCACATTCAAATGTCTGAGAAATGTATAATTTTTAGTTCCGCATAAAAATCGCGAATAGAATGAATGGATGGAAGATTTTATGTTTTCTTAATTAAATTAAAATTTAATTTTTAGCAATCCAAAAAAGCTTCCTAATGCTGTATGCTTTATGTTCTTATAAGATACTATAAGAATATTGTTCCGCTTAAGGATTCAAAATCTGCGTCCAATTGGACAATAATATTTCCTAATCGCTCAACTGCGCTGTGATAATCGGTTAACGTATCCGTGGATCTACGTGACGCCAAATTTTTAACAGATCCTTCAGTAATTGTTATACTCTTTTGGGAGATAATATCAATTGAAAATCGGCTGGTATAGAACAATACCTATTTTCTTTACAATCAGTGGGAAAAAAAAATATTACGGACTTAAAGTCCAAATAAAGTTTAATTTTACTTTTTTACGCCGCATATAATAATTAAATAAAGTTTGAATTATTGATTTAACAGATGATCTAATGATTAAATAAAGTTTGAAATTATTTTATTTAACAGATGATCCTAATAATATAAAAAAGGCCAATTTATCATTTATATTTTTCCTATCGTTCATTTTATCAAATTCGCTAATTTTTTATTTTATCAACTTCTAAAACATTTTGGTACGTTATTATTATTATTATTTTTATTTTTATTAAATATAATATTTCATAATAAAGAACTTAATCGTCTTCATAATTTTTTATATATTAAATAGGAAAACTAAAAATGAACAATAGAATGAACCAATTAATCTCTTATGCGAATGACATGTGGAATTGTGTTAAAACAATATTTGGAGTAATTATCGACGAGGTAAATCGTTGCGCTAAGTTCCTGTGGAATTCATTAAAATCATATAACATTGTATAAAAGCAATATTTGTATCAATGTTTTCAAAATTTTCAAAAGTCTTTTTTTTATTCACAACATTCTTCACGAGAACGACCTCAAAATTTAAATGAATAATAAACCATAAGAAACATAAGCGGTTACTCTGACTCATAAGGTTAAACTAATAATAATTCCCATAAGATTTAGATAAATTTACTACTACTACTACTTTATTTAGTATATAATATCAAACAGTCAACTCTTCATAAATGCACCCTCTGTAAATGTACACATTATATGTAAATATTACCCTCTCTGTAAATTCATACTCATGTATATATCCTAAAGGGTGGTACATTTATGGAGAGTGACTGGTATATAAGATTTATGTAAGATATGTAAGATATTAAAATTAAAAAAAAATAAATTAACCATTTTATTATTATAATTCATATTTAAAAATAAAAAAAATATATATATATTATTTTATTATAATGTACATATTTTTACTAGCAAATTTATTTTTTTGTTTTCATAAATAATTTTTTAAGATTTTTTATTTCACAAAAATCGTGTGAGAAAATTAGAATAAGAAAATCCATATTTTGCAAAATAAGATCGTATTCAGTAAAAGGTAAGGCCCTATAATACAACTACGTTATTCACAAATTTAAATAAAATATATCGATGTATATTTATGACATACCTGCAAATTATAATGTCCCTTGCAAAACAATAAATGGTATCCCTCAACTTTCAAGAATTTTTTGTATTATTGAATTCATGAAATTTTTCTTTAAAGCATAATTAGTTCCGAGATAATCCATTGAATATGTTACAATAAATTTAAAGATGGACTAAATAATCTTTTGCACGAAAAAAGTCCTGAAATATGTTGAGATAAAATTTTCAATTAGACAATCTTACGTATTAGGAGATGCGAGCGGAATCCGTAAATTTGTTAATTGCGAAAAGAGCCTGGAATTTTTTTTTAATAAATGACAATTTCTCTCCACAAAATGATAATTACTCTCAATGCGATCGTGACGTAAAGGTTATTTATAAAAAATTGATTTTAAATTAAGAATCTATGTAAAATTTTCAAGAATCTTAGGTAAATTTGTTGTTGTAGTTTTAATCTATGAAAATTATAGGGAATTAAGTTGAGAAACTTATCATAAATATACAGAATTAATCTGATAAATAATAATATTTTGATGTGGACCAGGAATTGGTGATGATGATAGTGATGGTAGTGATACTTCTCCATCGGAGAATAATAATATAACGGGTAGATTAGTTGAAAGTGCTTATCATCATCTTCCTTATCATATATTACATCAACAACAATATCATTATAAAAATTTTTTAATTTACTTCACTGTATGCTAAGGCGAGGCATTTACAATTTAATCATAATTTTTTTTAAAAGAAAAAAAAAACTTTCATTAGCTAATCTTTTATTCTTATGGATATGGTCATTGGATTTAAATCGCTTTTGTGAAACAGAATTTAGTTTTGATAAGATAATGCAATCGAGTTGTGAGACAATTTATTTAACCAATAGACTTCTCAGTAATTATACTCAC